GTGTTTTTGTGTGTGTGTGTGGGTGTGTGTGTGTGTTGGGGGGGGGTTACTTAGGGAAACGTTGCTATATGGCAACGCTGTACCACAACGGAAAATGGTTAAAAAAATAAAATAAAAAAAAAAGTAGTTTTTCTATAAAAGTATGATTTTCTTTTCTATTTAAATGCATATTTATTTTAGAGATTGATAGATTTATATTCTTGGAACTCATACAAACCAAAAATACGTAGATCCCTATCGTTTAACCTTCACTGAAGGCTCACTCATCCTCACTCTCATCACATGGAAAAGCTAACTTCACACTCTTCCTATTGGCCTTTCCATAAAATAGCCTATTGCTGCATTCATTTTCTGAAAAGAAGAAATTATTTTGTTATTTATACATAAATACAACTATACTACACTAAACACTTCAAATAAATAAATAACTGCAATCATATTATTGATGCTACTATCTATAAACAATCCCAATGGGGAAATACATTACTGCAATTCCACTATGGTACAGCGTAGCCATATGGCAACATACCTATTTTTCCGTATAGTGGTACAGCATTGCCATAACGAAACATTGATATTTTCTCAATTTACAGTAAAACTATGTTAGTTAAATCGTGAATAAAAATGATCTAATTTACTTAACAAAGATGCTGCAAAAAAAAAACCCATGAGAAGAGACATTTAGAAATGAGGTTAATAGAGCAATTTCTGGAACACTTCAACAGGTGTCTTCAGTGTGAGGGTGACAGTGGGAAAAAGAGTTTTGGACGGACATTCAAATGTCAAGTGACTTAAAAGCAGCACATTGTCTATCTTAAGGCCTCACTCTTCTAATTCCCATAGTGCAATATTGTAATTTTTTTTTTCAGAATAACAAGGAAATTAGTAGAAATTAATTATTGCCAATAATAATAATAATAATAATAATAATATTGGCAACTCCGTACCATAAGGGGTTAAAGATCATTTTTAGAACCAGTAGCTTCCATTTTTAAAGATGAAAAAGGAAAACAAATCATCACATCACCGTATGAACTATGGCAAACACCGTGATGCAGGGTCGAAGTCTGAATTACGTAGTCTCCAGCAGATGGAGACAAAACACCACAAATCTACTGTGCGTTCACATTATTGTTACAGAAATTTCCCCAGCCCTCCTCCCAACAAGAGCTGCGTGTCATGCAACTCAGCCAACCTGCTGCCATAAAAAAAGTAAACATTATTGTATATACTTTTACAACGCGCAAATCTGTCAATGTTTGACCTTTAACAACTAATGTAAGTTTATTTTTCCTTTAAACACTCCTAACTTGCTTGAAGAACAAAACAGCTGGAGGGTTTTAGTGCAGCTTTACGGAAGCCGGTGTTACTTTGTTAAACATGGCTGACGACTTTGGCTTTTCGGCTTCCGACAACGGAGTTCATGCAGAAGAAGATCCGGCCGCGGCGTTTCTGGCCCAGCAGGAAAATGAGATCGCCGTGATCGAGAACGACAGCGCCGGGTTCGGCGCGCTGGAGGACGGCGGACCTCCGCCCGCGAACACGTACACGTCGTTCGGAGGTGATTGTGTCATGCTGGCCTGCTTGCTTGTACTTAAACATTATTACGCTTTTTATTATATTATTATACGATTATACGACTATTCAAGTTTGAATTTAGTGTAAACTTAATGTAAAATCTTACTACAATAACCTTATTTCATATAAGTACCAGTAGTACCATTTTTGAAATTGTACCATGGTATACTTGGAGTACCATGTACATACTATATGAATATGGTACTAAATGAGTGCCATATCACTTACAAATAAAGTACCATGATTTTTGACAATTCCATACAAAAAGTACTTTGGCAGTACTGAAATTATTGTACCATGATATTTACTAGTACTTTTAAGAATCCCATGATACATATCCTAAACATATTG